CCAATCCCAATAATTAAAATGGAAACTACATTTAAAAGTTATATAAAGACTTTTGAATCTGTAGTCATTAGCTTGTTTCAAACTGATTTTAAGGGGGCTTAATGAGCTCTCCTTAAACATTTACCACAATCATCTTGATTTATATTAAAAAAAAAGCAAAAGATCAAACATAGCAAATTCTGAATTATTCTGATGGCATCAAAAACATTACAGATTGTACACAGACAATATAGAAATTGTCTAATTACATTGAGATTGAAGTTATTTATCCCTTAGAACACAATTAATGTTTATTTTATAGACAAAGGTGATTGGAGTTGACACAATATTCTCTTTTGAAATGTGTATATCTTTCATTTTTCAGCACAGAAACTAGTGTTAAATAAGACTTGTTCATGGTCAGCATAAATGAACTGGAGGACTAAAAATTCCTGGGATGCAAAAACATACTGTCTTCAGATTCTCTAAATTCAGACTATTTACTGAAGACTTAGAATGTGAACTGAGCACACAATTTCAGTTAAAGCTCTTTTTGGGTGACAGTTCACATAAGCTGTCTTTAGAGATCACTGAAGTAAGGCTTTTTTAATAAGTCACATCACTTTAATAAGTGAAACACTGCTGAAAATAGAAACTGTAGTCTATTTGCTTTGAGATTTTGGCAACTTCAATATGTCTTTGATCACTCTTTTTCTCATGTACTATCAGAATTATAAGGCAGTATGTTTGCCAGAGACTACAAAGAGGAACAATACAAATACTTGAAATAGAGTGTTTTCTGTTCTATTTTTAAGGAATTTGATAAGGAATTTTTTAAGGAATTTAATAAGAAAAACCTGAATTAACTGCTTCACTACACATTTTAGCATAGAGTAAATTTGTGATTTTAAAAACTTGCTGTAATTTAAAGTTTATATTTTATATGCTTATTTACTGTAATATAAAGTAGAAATTTAACCATACATATGGATACTCAGGGCTTCCCTGGTAGCTCAGCTAGTAAACAATCTGCCTGCAATGCAGGAGACCCCGGTTTGATTCCTGGGTCAGGAAGATCCCCTGAAGAAGGGGTAGGTTATCCACTCTAGCATTCTTGGGCGTCCCTGGTCACCCAGATGGTAAAGAATCTGCTTGCAATATGGGAGACCTGGGTTCGATCCCTGGGTTGGGAAGATCCCCTGGAGGAGGGCATGGCAACCCACTCCAGCATTCTTGCCTGGAGAATCCCCAGGGACAGAGGAGCCAGGCAGGCTGCAGTCCATGGTGTCCCAAATAGTTGGACATGACTGAGCTACTAAGCACAGCACAGCACTGCATGGATACTCAATCATATGAAGCTTTTCTGAAGATGGTCCCTAGAGATAACTGTATCTGTTGACAGACGTGCAATCTAGAATGGCACTCTATCATCATTTGCTTGAGGCTGGCAAATGGGAACCTTCAGAAAAAGGAGATTTTCTGTTCTCTACTCGGACCATAGTAGTTTGATCTTCAGCTTCCCTGGAAAATTCCTATAATGATCAACAGTGAAAGTACCCCCTGGGTCTTCAGAGACACAAATATAAGTGGTGTGTTTTTGGAATTAATTACATTTGAAATATTCCGAATAGGTATTCTCTAGTACTACAAGCATATGGTCATTTTCACATAGTTCTATTTCTGTAAAATCTACATTTTTTTCCATTATCAGAATCTGCTTCCTTAAAGATAGCTGGGCTAATCAGAAAATGATTGCAATTTAGTATCTTTTCCTATTGGAAGCAACAGACTTACTAAAGCCAAAACATCTGCTTATCTTATTTCAGGAATTTGCGCTGAAGCAACCAAATATTGATCAGCATCACAAATATCAAATTTAAATATCATCTTTTACATAAAAATAACAAAACTTTAAGATACTATACACCAGATTTGTTTGATGATTTTTTTTAACCTGAGGAAACCAGGAAGGTAGCAGAACTGTGTAGAAGTCCTTTAAGTATTAGTCAAAAGGCAAACCAACTATTTTTTAAAATGCAGTAAGATGCATTCACTCAAGTACCGTTTACCCATCCTTGGACTTGTCCCTTTTCAGCTCCTTTTTCCATTCCCATCACCAACTATGTAATGTCCTCTAGCGTTCCCTTTTCATTTTCCCCATTCTCAGCACGCTTCTTTGTCCTCTGACTGAGGCCGTCAACCTCTAGCTCCACTCCATTAGGTATAAAGGCATGAATTTCTTTATTCCTTGCCTCCTGGGGTAAGATCTCTCTCATTCAAGGTCAGACCTGTCAAAACTGCTCATCATTTTTGACTAGAGCCGCTAAGCAGAATTCAGTGGCTTTCCCAGGCTCCTCGAGGGGACCCTGCAAGTCTCATATCTTACATATCTTCCTCTACCCCCACTTCCCTTACTCATCTTTGGATCTTTTGGCACCTCTCACTAAATCTAGCCAGCAGAGATATGTTGAACGATTCACTTTTTAAAAGTATTTTAAAAAAATTTTTAATTGGAATATAAGTGCTTTACAATGTGTTAGTTTCTGCTGTACAACGAGGTGAGTCGGAATGTGTATGCAGCTCACTTTTAAGCATGAGTTATTTTCAATAGCTTGAACCAGAACTGGCCTTGTCCCAGATTGTCTGTAGAAAAGCATATGATTTCCGCTCTACTTTCATTTTTCAAAACATGGTGACCCCAAAAAGAGGACCGAAACATTTCCAGTGGCTATGGAGTTGCCAGATAAAATACAGGCTGCTCAGTCAAAACTGAATTTTAGATGAACAACAAATAAAACAATTTTTAGTATAAGTATACCCCAGATTGTGCACGGGATATACTTATACTAAAAACAATTATTCATTGTTTATCTGAAATTAAATTTTAACTCATGAGCAGCTTATATTTTTATTTGCTAAATTGGATAGCTTTACCAGTGACTCTTTAAAAATTCTCACAGGACTCAAAGAATGCATCTTTAGAGCACCTGGAGCTTTGTATCTGAGCTGTGCAAACTTCTCAACTGGTCATATTTTATGTCTGTTAATAATCCTGGGTTACTTTCTGAGCAAGTCAGTAACATACTTTAGGAAATGCTCTTTCTTATACAAAATTTTTACTTAGTTTGTTAATTTCATAGACTTCCTGTCTAATACCATCTATCAATAATTTCAGCACAGAGAATACGGTAATGTTGCCCCAGATTTCTTGGAAAGCTGACATTCAGAGTCATTATCAATACTATTCCTGAATTAAGTCCTTGCATTTACGTATTAATAACTAAAATTTTTTGAAAATTTAATTTTGAAAACACAATATGAGAAATACACATCTTTCGTTTGGGGATTCCTTTTCTTCATCAAGCACAGTGAGACATACTGTCCTCACTAACAGGCTGGGGAGAAGCAGCCTGGGAGGCGGAGGTGGAGCCTGTGATGTAACTGCAGTGGGTCTTTGCTGGAAAAGTCTTCTCTGAATGAAAAACATCTGTACACCTAATTGTTCAGCTTCAATGTGCATGGTCTTAGAAGATAAGAGACTTATCTCTTTCAGCATAATGTAAATCTTAGAGGTTGAAATCTTGGTCAACAGAGGAATTCCTCAGAAGTTGTTTAGAGACATACTAGGAGTCTCACTAAGGGAGAAAAAAAGCAGGTTTCTTCAGCAAAAGAGTACCAGTGTAGAGCACTAATGGTGTGTGTGTTATAGTGGAAGTTATAACCCAAAGTGTAAGGAAAGATGCCCTACAGCTTGTTCCAATCCTGAGAGTTCCCTACATTACTGTGTTCTTTCAGTATTCTTGACAGTAATTATGGAAAAGACGTTCATTTCTTATTCCCACGGAAGAATTTAGGAGAGAGAAATGCCTCCAAGTTGTAGAGGAATACAGATTTTGCCTTCCTCCAAATTTCAATTAGATCTCAGGTTCAACTTCTAGGGAGAGAATGACTAATTCTGTGTAACTACTTGGTGTCTTAAGATGATAATGAATTAAGACGTTTATTCCAACATAAGCATATTACCTGCTTTCCACCATATTGGAAGCCCCGGTTTGTCAAGCTCCAGGCTCAACACGCACACTGCAGAGATGCAGAACGCTTGGATATCTGCCCAAGACTAGTCTCTCCGAAAGACAGACTCAAATTTACGGTACCAATCTAAAGCACCGGGGGGGAGGGGGTGGGGTCAGCAGCATCTTTTTCCTAGTTGGTATAGGAAAGGGATGAGATCTGGCAAACTGAGGCACGGGGCTTCCACCTGCCTGTGCAGAGCATAAAGGCTGACAAACATATTCATTAAACTTGATCTGAAGCAACCTAGTCGACGAGGTCGTCGCTGAAATATTTATAAGGTGTGTTACCGGACTCGCCACTTAGAGGTCGGGAGGAAACACGGTGAATAGGAGCACCCACACTTGGGGGGCGGGGGGGCCAAAGGCACTCACAATCGCACACCTCACCACCACACTAACTGTTTTGCTTTTAACAGCTCTGTCAGCTGTCGCTCCCCAGTCGCCTGTTCAATTCTACCTGCCTGGGAAAGAGATGTTCTCCTAAGTGAGGGGTTTCCTGGTAGGAGGCACCGCGCGCCAGCCCCTCAGACAGGTCCCCGGGTTCCCGGCGCTGATGACCCTCCAGCTCTGCGGCCCGCCGACCGAAGTCCTGCACTGCCCCTGGGGCCTCAGGCCGTGGGGCAAGGGGCCCGGAGACCCCGACGGGCCACTCGCCCGGCCCGGCCGCCCTTGTCTCGGCTCCTATTTTGGTCTGCCTACCATGCCTCCTCAAAAGCCCTCGGCGTTCGGTCAATAGGTGATTCGCGCCCCAGCCAAGATGTAAACAGCCTCTCCTGCCGACCTGCATCCCCTGGGTGTTAATTTGAGGTGGCAAGATGGGGGGACCGATGACGGTCCTCAATGACCACGAAGCCCCTGCACCGGGGTAGCATGCACTTTTCATTCCAACACCCTCTGCCCACACCCGCAGCATTCCTGCTGAGCCCCACACGCTGCACTGCTCGCGCGATGCCTCGCGTCCTCGCTGCCACCTCGCTCCTCTTCAAGGGCATTCGCGCCTCTCCTCTCCGCTCCTGGTGGGTCGCCCCAGGACGCCGCTACTCACGTGAACTCGGCGGCCGCAGAAGCTCAGCAGGTCCCGGCGTGCGGCTTTCGGGTCTCCATCTCTGCTCTCCCAAGCGCTCCGGCTGCGCGCTCCGCCCGGCGCTGGACGAGGTCGGTCCCAGCGCAGAGCCTGGACCAGGGCGGCCGCGGCTGCCGCACTAGCTGCGGACGCGGGCGGGGCGGGGGGCAGGGCCGGAATCTGGGTCGCTAGGAGCTGAGCAAGCTGGGATGGGCCCCAGGCGGCGGGCGGCGAGCAGGCAACCGAGAGCAGCCCCGGGTAGGGCGTGCGGAGGTTTCCCTGGAAGCACAACCAGGGAGGCCACTGAGCATGCCCAGTCGCGGGGGAGGGAGCGCGGGCGCCTGGAGCGGAAGGGTTAAATCTGCAGACCTGGCTGCTTGAGCAGAAAGCAAGTACAGGCTGGAAGATGGTGAACCTCAGGAGTCTTGTCTATGGGGTTCCTAAAGAGTCCTGGAATAAGAAGGCAAGCTGTATTCCTCGCTCCCTTCCCAGAAAATTGTTCGGAGGGCCAAGTTTGTTTTTTAGCTCAGCTTATCTTACCAAGTGAGATCTCGCCAATCCAGACATTCACCCCTCACCTGCTCTCCTGAGCCTGGGGACCTCACCTGCAGGGGTGCCTCAGCAGTACCCACCTTTCCCGATTACTAGACCGGTCCGGTCAAGTTAAAGAGCTAGCTCTTTAGTTTGGTTTGTAATTGAGGTCGCGTCAATCCTCTCAGGTTACATATTTGCATTTTTATCAGGTTTCAGAAACAATACCTTAACCCTGGGGTTAATTATAATGGATGAATTATGAACAAGACCTGGGGCTGTTTGGGGAACTTGCTTCACAGTGCAAGAGGACTTGGCTCTGAACTCACTTAACTAACACACACACACACACACACACACACACGGAGACCTGTGCCTTTCTTTTGTATTGTGTTTCGTATTAAGGAAGAACGTTTTTCTCTCTAATTAAACAGTTTCTTAAGTTAGAAGCAGGATAGAGTAGGGGAAAGACTATGACCTTGGAGGCAGGCCTTGATTTCGGTTTCATTTACCACCCGAGTAGTTTACCCAGCTATGCTTCCTCTCTGTTACCTCATCTATAAAATGATGAGTCCTGGACTTCCTCTCTGGACTGGTGTGAGGATTAAGTGAGACAATGATGGCAAAGCACCTGTTACATAATAAATGTTCACGGAATAAAATTCCTTTAGGTTCCACCTCCACCATACAGTTTTTATGAAAGGTTAGGTTAGTGATAGTCCTTAAATGATGAACAAATTGTGTTCCTTCCTCACATTATATAACCATTATGCTTTATCCTTCTAATTTTTATTGTTCTTAGAAGCATTATCCACTATTACCTTCCCTTTATACTCTTCAGTTTCTTCATATTTTTAAATAAAACCTCTTGGGTGGCCATATATGAGTCCTCTTTGGAAGGAAAAGCTTTTTAGGAGAGATTCACTGTTGGCAGGTTTATCCACGTGACAGAAGAATTTCACTCCAAAGTCGATTTTTAAAGTAATTTAATATTCTTCTTTTACTACTATTCCATAAAGTATACTTGCATGGGAAGAAATTTACTTTCAACTGATACTGCATACATTTTAAAGTATCAGTGCTCAAAAAATAAACTTTTCAATAGCTCCCAAACATTCCATGTGTTTCGTAATGCTTTGCCTTTATTTATGGTGTTCCAGTCTTTCTGGAAGACTCTTTTCTTTCCATTCCACTTTACAAAGTCCTACCCATTCAAATTCAAATGCCACCTTCTTTCAGGACACTTCCCCTAACTCCAAGGTAGAGCTAATGCTCTGCTTCTAGAGCACCAATGCATACTGATATTACAGCACTTATCACAGTCTACTGCTATTGTTTAAGCAATGTAAAACAATTTACTGTGCAGGCATTGTTCTGTGAAAACAATTGTGAACAAGACAGACATGGTCTTTGCCCTCATAATGCTTAAAATCTAGCTTGAGGAAGATAGGCAATAAACACCTACAAAGTAAATAATCTCCAAGGACACAGACCAAGCATTTTTGTCTTTGTGTTCATCAAATTAATCTATAGGCCTTGATTCCTTCTTTCAAAAATATCAGTAAAAATAATAATGATAGCCCTTGGTCAACCACATTACATGGACTTGGATCCCTGCCAATGATTTTTATTCTTTTCATTTGACTCTTTCAGTTAGCTCCTCTAGGTAGAGACCTGCAATTCAAATGATGAATTGGAAGGGGTAGGGGAAGCCCAGAGAGTTTAATCCCCGCACAAAATTATATCTTTTTTCTAACCTCAAAGAATGGCATTTCTCCAGTGGCCAGATTCAGCCTGGACTCTCGTATCTCCTACATCTCAAACGTCTCTTCCAGGATCATTCACCTCCTAAACCTTCACCTTCTTACCACCTTTGACCTCTGTTTATGTTCCTAGTTATTCTCTCTCTGTCATGTATTAATTGACTGTTTGCTTCTACCTACTGTCTGAATAACTTAAGCTTTTCTCTCTGTTTCTCTTATGGTCTGAATGTGAGACAGACTTGGCACCACTTAGAAAACCACTACAATATTATAAAGTAATTAGCCTCCAACTAATAAAAATAAATGGAAAAAAAAAAAAAGAACCAACTTTTCCAAAGTAGATTTGTATACATATACTCCATAGCATTTAGAGACAGCCTTGCCACATATTAATGTTTAACTCTGGGCAGGATCTCATTCATCCTTGTATTAAAGAATTTAACATATAACTAATATGTGATAGATCCTCCATAAAAGATTGTGAAATAATGAATGAATATATACAGGTTCTCAACTCTTCTCAATTTCCTAGACTATACACATCTTTTCTTACTAGTCTTCTAAATAAGTCTAGGATTGGAGACAGTTTTTCCCTTTCCTACTCTATTAATTTCCCTCCAGTCACAAATTCACAGATTTCTACCCTTAAGGGTCCACAGCACATTGTAGAAGAAAATCCTAGCCACAATTCATTACAAATTTGTGCGTTTTAGCTAAAGCAACAATCTATCATCTATAAATCAGTATTACTATTACCTCCTCCAATTCACAGCAGCTATCCTTAAAATTTTTCTCTTTTCCACATTCTCAACCCACCATGTTTTTAAAAATGGACATCCAGCTCTCCCCACTGCACCAGAGAAGAAAGACTACTGGGCATCATCACCCTAGGAATTAGCTTGTTATTTTAAGTTAGTCACTTAGTCATGTCTGACTCTTTGTGACACCATGGACTGTAGCACACCAGACTCTTCTGTTTCATGGAATTCTCCAGGCAAGAATACTGGAGTGAGTAGCCATTTTCTTCTCCAGGGGATCTTCCCAATCCAGGGATTGAACCTGGGTTTCTTGCATTGCAGGCAGACTCTTTCCCACGTGAGCCACCAGGGAAGCCCAACCTTTCTTTCCTTTTCTTAATCAATCTCAGTAGAGTGGGTTTTCTCTTCATTCTTGAGCTAGTCTATACCAATAAAATGTCGCCATCATAAAATATCCTTTATCTTTTAGCTGACTACTAGGTACTATTTCAAGAAAAACTACTATGATACATAGCTTTGTCACAAGAAAACAAAGCATTTCTCATCAGTTAATAAACTTTGGGAAAATGCAGCTAATAGAAAACCTACTAGGATGACACATAGAGAGGTTTATAGAATTTCAGGTTACAGACTTGTTGGGACTAATATATCTTTGAATTAATTCAGGAAGTCCTCATGGGCTGCCAAACTGCCAGGGACTTATGCTCAGGTAGTTTGAAAGCAATTGATACCAATCACGATTCTTGGCCTTCCCCAATCAATAGAAGTTGACTAAGTACCAGACAAGAAATTTAGGGAAGGCTTTATTGAGGCTCCTGTGGCTGCAGGAAGGAGTGAAAACAATAGCTTCCCTTGCCCACTCCCCAAAGTGGGAGCAAGCTGGTTTCTTATATGGAGTAAGGGTAGTAGTGTGTCCATGGGTCAGGCAGGAAGGGTAACTTAAGTGTTTTGTCGAATCTTTCAGTGGTGTTGTGTGGAGGCCGTGCACAGTACCTTGCTTCTGCTCCTGACACTGGGCTTTTGCTCCCAGCTCTTCAGAAGTGGCAGTTGGGTCTTTTAGTATTTTTGTATCTTTTTTGCCCAATTAGCCCCAACTATGCATGCATACAGTTATTTTTAGTCTCTTATAGTTTCTTTGTATTTTGTTGCTCAAGGAGATGTTTGTCCAGGTGCAAGCATTACATCACTGCAGCAAAGGTCCCAGGTCCCACCCTGTTTCACAGTTAATTGTTTGAATTAATTGTGTTTGGTGACATTTGCTACAGCAATGTTACATAATGTTCAGATACTAGCCTGGAAGTTAAGCGACCTGGCCTTAACCTCTTTCAGTTTTATCTCTAAAGTGAGGATGATGATAATAATAAACTAAAGGATATTTACCCTGTGTTGTTGCTGACAGAATTAAATTTGTAAATAATTTGTCAAGTGCTTAGCATAATTGTTGTCCCATAGTGGTCCATAAATGTTAGCCATGAATCCACCTACCATTATTTCCACATAAAAAGCATATTTACCAGATTACCATGAGATTCACAGAGAGGTAGTTGAAGAAACTGAAATCACCTGATGTAGTATTTAGATGTGATGAGTAGGGAATCCATGGAGGAAGAAGTTGTGCCTCTAAAGTCTGCCTCAGCAGTGGAACTGAGGAGGAAGGGAAGACCTGGGAGATGCTGCATTCTGTCATCTATTTGGACTCCAGATTGGTCCATTACAAGTGACATACGGCTTAGTGTTTTCCAGACAGGTGACTCTCTTACTGAGCATCATCCTTAGGAATTTATTTGCATAAGAACTTCTCCACCCAAAAGTCTCTTTCTTTAGCAAGGTTAGATTGAGCAATGGGTAAGTAGAAATTTCCTGTTTGGATCATTTTGTGGGTGGAGTGGAAGCCATTTATTTTTAATCTAGCTTTGATCTTAAGTGTTGCTACTTGAAGAATTTGTAGTAGAAGATGTATGTGTTGAATGTATCAGTTTCATAATGAAAGTAGAAATGAAAACTATGGGCTTAAGAAACATTAGGCCATTGCTTAATTGT